AAAATTCAACGAGAAAGTTAGAACTGATCAGTGATTGAAAATTTTTTAAAAGATTGAAATTTCCCTTGAAATTCGATCAGAAAAACATTTGACAAAGTCAATGTTTGATTAAATGGCTGATTGATTGATTTATCTATTGATCGATTGATCGAAAAAAATATCAGGGAGAGGCTATCCCAAAGAAATAGCCTGGAGGCTTGACAAAAACAATAAAAATCAAATTTTTGATAGCAGTGCTATTAAAAATAAATTTTCAGAATGATCCGTAAATATATCATTAGATCATCCATTATTTTAGATCATTTCATCATAATATACAAAATTAGATCAAGAAATTGGCAATTAAACATTGTAAAATTCAGTAATTTACAAAATTAATGTATCGAAAAGTTGTGATAAGGTACGATATATCATTACTGAAATACAGTTATACTGCAAATTCGATATTACAAAATGGTTGCTTACCATATTACTCTTGAAACATATGAAAATTAATTGCCAACAATAGCATTTTATTTTTAATTAACAAAAAAATAATATTGGCCATTGGTCATAACACAATTAGCTAATCAACTGCAAGAATTATAGCCGTACAATGGAGATTTTTGTTTTTTGGTAAGCATTGCTTTTGAATTTAAAATAATTTCGATAAGTTTAGACTAAAAGATTATCTTAGATAGACTGTTGACATCCTTAGCTTATTTTGAAGAAGGCGGTGAAGTTCATCCGTGCTATGAATGAACAGTACTTCAACTATAAACTTTCTTAGTTGTCATTGAAAGATGCTAGACTTTTCTTCTGAAGGTATCACTGATAAATGAATTTATTCACATCCATTCTTCTACATTTCAAATAAATATTATCTAGTCCAGACTTTCTAGACTGATTTCTTATTTCCATTTCTTCGTTTTGCTGAAAAAATCATCTGCAAAAAAATGAAATTAAAGTCTAAATTTAGATTATGCAAAAATATAAACTGTTATATATAAAAGTTATTTGACCTCGCAATGCCACCAGGAAGTCAGATACAAAAAATAAAGCCTGAACTGTCGTTGAAAAGATTTTTATTTGATTTTTTTTTGTATTTCTTTCTTGCAATGCTTTTTCTTTTTTTGATCAATTTACAGTAATTTTTTAAAGGAGTAATTTTACTATTATTGTCTTTCATTCGCTGTTTTTTGGGAGGTTTGCAGAATCCACAAGATAATTTACAGTTTGTTCGCATAAATAGCTTCCGAGGACCAAAGCATTGACCATTCTTAACCCAAGAATAACAGCTTTTGCTGTTATCAACACACTTTCGTACTGTAAATACTATTTTCTGTTTTTTGCTCGATTTCACTTTAATTTGCATACTTCAATTTGTGCTAATTCATTTACGCAAGTAAATTTACAGTTCTTGCTGTAGTAATGTATCGAAGGCAATAGGCTTTTTTTATATTAAAATTTTGTAAACTAAATTGTCTTCGACTTACTTTGTGTTTGTTTCGTACTTCTTTGTACTTCACTATTTGTTATCCAGTGGAAAGCTAACTATTTTAAAAACATCGCCTTTTTTTTAATTTTTACCGTTTACACTTTTGATAACAAATCTTAGATCAACTAATAAATCCACGATCAAATGATATGACCTTTTACTGTTTTAACTTTTTTGTTCTTTCCACTTAATACTTATTATTCATTTTCAATGTATTAACTTTGTTTTCTATATTTTATTACAGTATCTAAGGCTAACTTGAATTAAAAATGAGAACTTCTGAATTAAATCTGATTAAAAAATGATAAATTAACGCTTAGACTGTTTTTTTTTATTTTTATTTTTTGAGAAAATGCGAACTTGTAAATAAATGAATAAATGCAGTGCTGGCATTTTTTGCAATAACAAAGTATAATGAACATGCTAATAATGTCATTATTGTATTTAATGAACGATTTAATTAGTTTTAAAACTTTGAAAACTTTATCTAAAATTAGTGCTTGTTATACAAATAAGCAAGCTATATACAATTTTGCAGTCAATTACTCGAGAAGTAAGAAAAATACTGTATTTAGACAGTAAGCTATTAAGGAAATCTCATATAGAGCTCATAATTTATCCATTTGTCAATATTACTGTAACTTACATAATATTTGAAATATGTGCATTTTGTATTAAGGCACATTCAAATTGTTGTGAATTTTTTATGAGTTAAAAAGTAAAGGATCAAAATATTTACATTGACTGACAGTAGCTGCAACTTCATGGCAAGTATTACAAGTTTTTGGACATCGTTTGGTCATAAAATCTTCATGTTCACCTTTACATCCAACAGTTTGGGCCCAGTAATCACAGTATCGTTCAAAATCTCGACATTCTGAAACCTTTTGATTCTTACATAATTAATTAATGACTCATCTAAAAAATAATTAGTATAAGCAAAAATAGCTTCAGAATAAATAAATGAATTTGTATAAATCATCATGTTACTTTCAAAAATAACTTAACTTTAAACAATGTCAAGATTTCAATATTAGAAAATTAAAAATTAATTTCTCTCTGCACAAATCTAGAAAATTTAATAATTCTGTAAAAAGAAGTCTAGTAGAGAATTTCAAATCACTATGAGCATATACGATATCCCAAATAAACTTGAGTTAAAAAATCATTCTAAAATAATAATTTATATGAGTTAAAGTTTTGCTTCAAAAGAATTTATATGAAAATATTTGATTCAAAAGTACTAAATATTATTATAAAATTTGATATAACAAATAACTTACTATAATATACATATTCATTCTCCTTTTGTACTTTTGATTTTTGATGTAAAGCCATTTTGTCAAGCCATAGTTTTTGTGACTGTTGTCGAAGTCTTAAAGATTCTGAAGGCCAAAAAGTGCCGTCTTGAGGATAACGTAAGCCATTACAACATGGCTCTAAAGTTAAAATGTGTTTTTACTTGTAATTTTTAATATTATTCAAATTTAACCAAAAATTAAAATAAAAAATCATTAAAATTTGTGCAAAAATTTAACATTTAGTATATTATAATTTTTAAGACAAAAATTTGAAGTCTAAAATTTGGCAGTAAAGGACAGAAACTTCTATAATACTTACGACAAAGGCCTTCTGAAGTACAATTACCACCGCACTTACATTTCGAACACCTTGGCCCTATCTGGTAAGGGCGTTTGCCAAACATATTTCCTCTACAAAACTTTTGGTTTGCTTTATTTTTTACGAAAATAAGTAAGTAAATAAACTGTACATTCAATTTTAGTAGGGAACTGATGAAATGATCAAGTAATTTCAATAACAAAACAATTTCGTTTTCAAAACAGAATTTTGAAAGTAAATATATAGGAAGTTCTATTATCTCTGTCATTATTATTTATTATTATTATTTATTATCAATATTTATTATTATTAATATTATTATTATTATTGTTATTATTATTATTGTCTCTTGAATTTGCAATTTTTCAATAAAAACTTCAATTTTAATTTGCATACCCTTCGCCATAATTGCAAACAATAATGTGCCCTTTGTTGATCCCTCTGCCATTCTTAATCCCATCACAATGAACTGCCGCACATCCTACTGCGCATGTTTCAGCCCAAACATACTGAAATGTAAGATTTTATGCAAAAAACTTAATTATTAAAGGTTTGGTAAGTCATAAACTTTGCATTTTTTGATTATTCAAATTTACAAAATTAAATTGGTAAATAGTTTAAGAGATTTCTCTGGCATAATTCAATTTAGTAATGCAATTTTTCGTTTTCATTTAAATGTTTAACTTTTGAATACATTTTTAAGGTTTTATATTTTTTGCCTTAGAAACTTATATTCTGAATTAAGAATTTTCATGATGGCATCATTTAGTGAGATCAGAATATAAATTCAATGAACTATTCAAAAGATTCAAGATTAATTGGTATGTTTAGAAATAGACAAAAACACTTTTTTTAGAGCTGCAAAAAGATTTGATTTGTTTTTTGAGGTGAAGAATTTGTTAAAATACTTGTAAATGCTTTAAAAAAGTTTCACTGGTAAAGTCCTACTCCTCTTCATAAGAGGTCAAGAAAATATCAAGTAAATGCTAAAAATTATAGCCAATTGAAAAAATCATCATCGCCGTTAAAAATAAATCGGAAAGAACCTGCAAATAATAATAATAATAATTATTATTATTATTAATAGTAATTATTATTATTATTACTGCAAAATTCGTCTAGCCAATAATATAATTATTTTGTTAATATGATGAACTTTGTCTTAAATAGTAATAAACCTGAGTATAATGCCCACACTGCGCATTTTGCCAACAGCGATTAGTGTAATAATTATAATAAGGTTTTTCGTTGAAAAAATCCAGCATAGCAGATTGCAAATTGGGTCGTAAAAATGCTTCGTTACTCCACCAAATATTTTCGCCAATATATGAATAGCCGTGACCTTGTCGTTCATAAGCTAAAGTTGAGAATTAGCTTGGTATATTCAGTAACTAGTATGAAGGAAATAATCGTAAGCTTCAATGTTTCATTATAGTTACTTATCATTAACTATATAAGTTGGTAGGTAGAATTATAACTACAGATAGATTATTAATCAGCATAAGTTAATAGATTTGAATCATAAAAATGATAATACTACTAATAACTTTGATTGATAAAAATGCAATAAAATCACTGATATACGATCCATTAACTTATGAATCATATAAAGTTACCAACCACTCCGATGCCACGCATCACATCGCTGTACGTGACCATACGCAAGATCAGCAAGTCGATCGTCCCAAACTAATTCTTGCATATTAGATGCTGGTTCTTGAGCTCGAAGTTTATTATGAATAGTAACTATTTGCCGTTTTTGATCTTCATTAAACCGATACAAGCCATAAAGAATTTGACCTGAAATAAACAAGTATTGAAAAGAAATTCCACTAACTTTTAAAGGCTTTAATTTAACAATTTTGATTATTCAAAATTTGAAAATAAATTTCAAAAAATTTTCACTCATTCAAAATAGAAAATAAAAATAGCTCACTTACATGCCGCAATACTAATATAACAAGAAATCGTAGCTATGAACAAATGCATTCTTATACGAGTACAAGTTACTGAGCCTCGTCGCCTAAACGTCCGGCACTAAAATATTACACTACCATATGCATAGGAATTTAATTCAGTTCTTAACGGAACACGTTTGAAGTCATATTTTTTAAATTTGTTTGTTGCTTATTAATTTTGATTGCGGTAAATTAGGCTTGAGCAAAACCACAAAAATTTATTCGTATAAACTGAATAAAATGCACAAAATTATTTGAGCATTTCGACTAGGAATTCAGTGAGTTATATGAAAAATATTTGCAATTTACGTGTGTTATCAAAAGATAACGAAACGTTTCCTACAGTTTCTTAATATGGAAATACGCAATACAATTCATAAACTATTATGATAAACTTTGAGAAAAAAAATTTTCAGAAAATTTTTCAAAATTTCGCTTAAAATTGGAAAGTTTTTCAAGTTTATAAATTTTTTCGATAAAAATATTCGACGAAATCA